AAAAGCCTCCTTCTCCCCTTTCCTGTGCAGTGATTAAACATCTAAAGAAGTATTTTTAACAGAGATGTTTAAAAATGCCACTATCATCCAATTCCAACTTTGCTACCTATATCTCAAGATCACACTTTAGCTTACAGGAAGACACTGCTTTTTAGTTGAGTCAGATCATAGGATGATAAAAATACTATCTATTTCAGGAGGGAGAAATTCTTATAAGCCCCTGCAGTCCATCAACTGCATTGAATAGATATGTAGTCTATCGGTATTTGAAGGGCCACGTGTTTCCTGATGTTGGCTTTACTGAACTGGCAGTGATTACCCAGGATCTCAGGAAGACTTTTCCTCATCCAACATTCCTGCAAAGAGGGATGCAAAGGACTGAACAAGTGAACTTTTTCATGAAGTTCATATGCTATGCCAATAAATAAATTTTATTCTTTGTGTGACCCATCAAGCAGCTAAACATCTGAAGATGTTACCTAGCTGGGTAACAAAACGTCTGCAAGAAAACAACCAAGCTCAGAGAACCCCAAGGACTCCATAGCTAAACATCTGCTCTGACATATCATGTAGCTTTCTATGTATCTAAAGTAATTTCTATCTATAAATTTCTTATTTTAAATCAGAGTTGCTGTCAGGTCAATTGATTAATACATGGCAAGTGCTTAAAGAGTCAGCACTGCACAAACTGTTACTATAGCAAATGAGCAGAAGAAACAATGGACAATTGGTCAAAGAGTGTGCCATGAACTATCTGTTATTTGACTGTGATCAAACAGTATCAAGAATTCCAAAAATCAAGGAATTCCATCATGGGCAAGATCTTTCTTTCTTTTGTATTATATCAATAAAAGCTTTTTTTTTTTAAAGAAATACAATAGTTCCATAGCCAGTGATTCAGTGATGTCACTGGAATGGTGGGCCTTGATAGATTTATGTGACTTCAAGAGAAAGTAGGCATGTTAAGCCTTTGTGTTTTAACCTTCAAAAAAAAGCTAATAAAAGGAAATAACCACACCACTGAAAATTGGTGTCAAACTACTGAATTTCACTATATGCATCTCATGGGCCATAGATTGCCTCCTCCTCCATTAGATCATGGTATCATCTGATAATACTCCTCCTGGTGATTGAAGTCTATACTGATGTACTTTAGGTGCAGATATCACCTTCTCAGAATTCTCCCTAAGTGTTTTTTCTCCCTCAGCTCTCTCCTTCTCACATTATGCAAAGTGAGCTTGACTCCCCAGTTATGCAAAGTGTTTATGAAGATTCCCAGTCATCCAGGTGGAATTGTCTGGAGGTTGAGTCCAGTTCTCCAATGTAGAGCTCTGAACACTCCTCACTGCACTGGATTGCATATATTACATTGCTCTTCTCATGTTTTGGTGTTCAGTCTTTGGGGTGTACAAGCCTCTATCTCAGTGTGTTAGTGGGTTTGAAAAACACAGCCACCCTGGAAGACTTTTAATGGGGTCCCCTCTAACCAACTTTTCAGACTGAAGAAGCTGCTTGGACAAGTAGCGAAATGTCTCTAACCAAAAAGAAAAGAAGTCCAGTTGCCATGGCTCAACCTCCAGCCAGTTATGCAAAGTGATTTTGTTTATGCTTCTTAAAACAATAAGGAGAATTCAGTTGGTGAGTTTCCAATCATAATCTCCCTGAGTTTTTCTACTGCTGCTTCTGGAAATAGCAGCGTAACAATTAGCAGCAGAGGAGCCATCCACGAGAAAGCAGCCCATGAGCACGTTGCACTGATCCAGGTGTATCGATCACCTCGGTGCTGTTTATATGCATAGATAAGGGCATGCTCTATTTCAACTATTATCTTCCAACCCAGAGGAGAGCTAGATGCATTATGAGAGAATATGCATTATGTATGCTGTAAAATCAACTTCTGACAAAAGTGACAACTGTTTCTTCCACAGTATAGGATTGATTCAATAGTAAGAAGGGAGCAGAGATGATTAGATGGCGGCATTTAAGTGGCCTTGGTTGATTTCAATAAGTTAAGTGGGATGGCCCTGGTTAGTACTTGGATAAGAGACCACCAGGAAATTCCAAAGCTGTAAAGCAAACAAATATTCTTGAAGTCAGCAATGGCAAACCATGTCTGTATCATTGCCAAGTAAAAAGACTTTACCATTACATTTGTGGTGCAGCTAAATCCTGGCCTTCTTCTACATGCCCCACTTAAGATGACCGTTTTATGTGACTTCAGTAGTAACTGTAAAGCCCACAACAAAGATTTCCTTGTCCCTTCTGCTACACTGATGCCATCCCATGCTTTCCAAACCTTCCAGTTTCTTGATAAATTATCTTTGTTTTGGAAACTGACGCGCACGCACACAAAGCGTGCTAACACCATCTCATTTTAAGTTCATTTAAACAGTAATACCAGCCTCATGACTATAAGGATGAAATGGAATTTGCTTCTGCTAACTGTATGCTTGGGCATACTGTATGTATCTTTTTGTAGAAGGAGAGGATGAACACAGAGTAAACACCATTAAATGGATGTACTCAAAATCCTACCCTTTCTATAAATAAACTTTTAAAATAAACAGTAGGAAAGTAAATATGTCAATCCCCACAGGTTCCTGGCATTGTTAGGTACTAATGTCCGATTTGTCTGCCAGCTCCTTCATTTGCCCCTTTTCCAAGGGTAGGATCCTCCAGGGGCCAAGATCCTGCGATTTAACCCACAGGCTCAACTCAAGAAGGGTCCAAAGCAAGCCTCCAAGGGGCATCTGCCCTAGAGAGTGGCTGGGAGGGCTGTTCCTAACTGGGAGGCAGTGGCTCTTCAGCCCCTTCAGGCTGGGCAGGCGGGTTTCAACTTTTGCTGTTTACTGCTCTGCTGTTACGAATTTAGTTGGCTCTCCTAACTGAGCAGGTCTTTTCAAAAAGGAATAATTAAACGTTTCCTTAAGGTTTACTGTGTGAGATAACGGAACATTATTTATTTACTTTGGGGATTATTGGGTTTCCTTTTGGAGGGGAAAGGTCACCATACAATATCACGCTATTCTCTGTATAAAGTTCTCTTAACGTGGAGAGTAGAAAGGATGGCCTTGACAGAGAGAGGGAGGATCCGTTACCACGGCAACAAGATGATCAACGCCGCTTAAGCCCAAAGGAGGAGGGAGGGTTACAAAAACATCTCAGAAGGCACCCCCCTAATTCACACGAATATAAATGAGGGAGGAGGGAAAGCACATTCCGATTTGCAAGATTCTGTTACCACAGCCAGTCTTAATAAAAATAGTTTGAGGCCTACATGGAGTCTGTTTTTTCTGTCTGGTCCAGCTCGTAGGGCTGATGCTTAAACAATGTCCATGCAAATCCACCTGTGAGATAAAAGCTGAGGGTCAAATTAGACTATGACAACCAAAGACTATGCTGGATCACAAAAATCCAGTGACTGAGTTGGGAGAATGCCATTCCCAGGCAAAGGCAAAAGTGAGTTACACGTTCACCTCCATCTGTAATGTCAATCCCCTTGTGTTCTTCTGACATCTCCTCATTGCACATGATCTTCTGTAAGGAAATCCAACTTGTAAGCATCTGTTCAGGGCATGCAGTCATGTTTTCTGGTCGGCTAGAGGTCTTTATAATTCCTTGCCCATTGCAGATGCCAAAGGAAGGAGATCTGAACCCTGGCCTCCTGCGTTTCCACAGCGGTGTCCTGTGAAAATGGGCTTTTAAACAACCTTAGAATTCCACCCAGGCACCCACCCACCCAGTACCATCCTACATGTGATATGGAACGTAAGAGTTTTATTTGCTCCAACTGCTGGGAGAGGAGAGTGAGCAACAGGAAGAGAGGATGAGTTGTCAGAGGGAAGGGACGGGTGCCAGAACATTGGAGGCAGGCCAGTTTGCCAGGCTGTGACTTGAGTAGCCTAAGCGGGATTCAAAATGGAAAGCAAACACTTTGCCAGAGCCTGTATTTTGCTGAATTATTAGAGTGCTGCAATTCTTTTTTAAATAACCTGTAGACTGGCTCTTGTACAGACTCAGTTCCCTGAGGACTATAACTGAGGACTGGTAGCGCCTTTGCCAACTAACACATTTTATTAAAAGGAGAAAGATTTTGTGAACTGCAGCTCACTTCATCATCAGACAAAAGCTTTTGCCTTTTAATAAAAAAGCATTCATTGGAAAAAGTATGACCAGACCCCTTCTGATTTTTTACCACTGTAGACTAACACAGATCTCCTACCATGTTGTGAAGACAGAGAATTTAGTACTTCTAAAAAAAGAAAAGAAACAACTCTCATATATTGTAGCACAAGTGGAAGTGGTAAAATAGAGATAGATTCCCTGTCCCTACCTGCAGTATAAATAATATTTAGCATTTGAATAGCACTTCCAAACCGGTTCAAAGGGCATTGGAGGCATTCTTCTTACAACAAACCTGTAAATCAAGTCATTGTTATAGTTCCCCAAGTAACAGATTGCTGGGTACGGGGCTGAGCCTGTCAGTTGCCTAGTGAGTTTATTGGCAGAGGCAAATGGGGAACCGGGGACTTCCTGATTCATAGTTCAGTTTATTCATCACCATATCACTGTGCATCAGGACTCAAATCAAAATTCAGTGGTCTTCCCCAATACCACCAATATGGCTTTCAGGTTGCTCTGGGAAAAGACAGCAGGAAGTTGGGGATTTTTTTTTTTTCATTGCAGCTCTACCTCAGCCTCTGCGGAAGAAAGCTTCTCCAGCACTTTCATTCACACCAGGCTTTCACTGTTGCAGGAGGAGGAGGCAGAGGGAAGCCTTTTTTTTTAAAAAAAAAAACCTTTTCATTAGGGCTTGTCCTTGCTGGAGGCAATGGAGTGTTGGTGGTGTGAGACACTCCTCTAACGTCAGTGAGTCATCTCCCTCCCGACTGATGTCAGAGAGGCCTCTGTGCTTCACCAGGATTGGCTGTGCCTGGCTCATAGGGATTGGCTCAGTGAAAAGGTGAATGTGCAAAGAAGCAGCTGTGGAGGGGTGTGTGTGTGTGCATGTATGTGTGCAGTTAGAGTGTCTGCAGCAGGCACAGACAGTTGGGCTTGGCTGGAGCAGAGGTGTTTTGCTTTGTTCAGAAATCAATGAAAAGAAGATAGCAACGGGGCTGGCTGTTTCTGAGAGGTCCCCCGGACTGCTTATCCCAGAAGAATCAGAGCGGAAGGGAGGAGGAGGAAGAGGAGGAGGAGGAGGAGAAAAGGAGGCTTTGAAATTTGCTTTCTTGTTCCTGGAGTGCAAATAAGCTTGGGACACCGGAGCCTGCTATGCCAACTGAACTCTCCCACATGGTGAGAATGCATGCCATCTCTGACTGCTCCTCCTCGTTGACAGCACGGCTTCTCCACAAGGGTCCAGAGTACCTTCGCAAGCAGATGGAGGCAGGCAACCCTAGTAGGAAGAGTGCGGTGGAAAGGTTGGCAGCAGATAAGGCCAAGTACGTGAAAAGCCAGCAAGTCATTGGCAGGAAGCAGGTACCGGCCATCACCCTCAGCTCAACTTCTGAGAGCAGCAGTGAGAGTTGCTCGGTGGAAAGCAAGCACCTGGAGCACTTGGGTGAGGAGAAAGACACCACAGCCAAAGTTCCCAGGGCCACAGAGCTCAGCCTGGCAGCCCTGCCAGGTGGTCCTCCCATTGTGAGGCGCAACAGTGCTAAAAGGCAGATCAGGCCAGATTCTTTGGTGATCTATCGTCAGAAATGTGAATTTGTCAGAGGTCAAAGCCAGGAGAATACTCGTGGGAATTTGGTCCGGAGGTTGTTCCAGGGGTCCTTCAAGGAAAAGCAACTAGTTTCTGAGGTGTCCAAAGTTGTTCTCAAGGAAGAAACAATTCCTGAAGTGGAAGGGACTGTCTTGAGCAAAGACACAAGCCGTGGCTATGTTCTAGAAGGACAGAATCCATCCACAAAGGCAAACCCAGTGCCCATTCTAGCCAGCAGATGCAAAAATGCCCTAAATGTGACTTCTGCACCTTATGATGTAAAGGAGATGAGACGGAAAGGTCTTCAAAGATCCCAATCAGATATCAGTTCCCGATATTCAAAATCTTTCTCTGAATTTGACTCTTTTTTTAAGAACTGTGGCCTTGAACCTGAAGTAATAGAAGATCTAGGCCAAGAGAATTTTTCTGTGGCTTCAGACAACTTCTCATTCCATATCCACAGCATCAGCGGGGCGACATCTGAAAGTGATTTCACGAGGCACAGTGGTGAAGATGGACTCCTGGAAGAAGAGCTCACAGAACAGGCGCCTAGTGGCACCTCTGTGATTGAACGCAATGCTCGGATTATCAAGTGGCTGTACATGTGCAAGAAAGCCAGAGAGGCAAATATGATGATGCAGGACTTTGCATAAAGACTGCTCACTTCATAGAGACACCCAGGTCAGTGTAACACTAATGCATGTGCAAAGTGTAACCGCACACGTTTGATGTTATCATGCATAGCTATGAATATATAGAATAAGGTTCTCTCCTCTTTACCTCTCCAGCACCCTAGGATAAGGGTTGGGGAAACATGCAATTTGTCTTTAATATGTAAAGAATGGTGGGCATAACATATGGTGCCAGTTCTTCTAATTGTTGCATTTGGGCCTTCCATAATTTTATAATGCTAAAGGTCTCCAGAAAGTTACATCTGGTTGTTGTTTCTTATTATGAAGGATCCCACTGTTTGAGCTGACCTTTAGAAAGTCATGGACTTTGCTAAGGAGAAGTGAGAACCACCAAAGAAAGTTAAAGCCAATATTTACACATCACGTCTGCCCTCTGATTGGCAAATAGCTTATTTACAGCAGGTTGGGCTATGTTAACAAAAAGCCTAGCTATTTGCTCAAGCCTTAATGTTATCTAATTAAGCTCAACTGGCACAAACTTTGATCCTTTGTAGCATGGGAGCTGTCAGCTTTGTCATCCCTCTACTTTCCTTTTTCTAATCTGTCCCCCTTTAAGCTATGGTGAAGGAATTTGTGGGCCTCTCTTTTTTCTTCCCCACTTCATTTCATTCAATATAATGAGTGATAAGCCTTCCTCTCGCGTCACAACATAACAGGCTGTGCAGCTATTTCCTGGCATTTCTCATTTTCCAATCTGTTGAGGAGTGGGATATCTCTTGCTGCTTCACTGCATTTATCGTTTTACACCTCAATGGGCTGGTTGGACAACACGGCTGAACCTGCGCGGAAAAGAGGTCTTGAACATTGGGGCAGCAAACGTGCTTCAGGGTTGTTGCTTCAGCTTGTGCCCCAATAAATCTGGAAGGAATGGTTCCCAATCAGATAGGGAATGGATGGCACGATACAGTGCAGTCCTGGGCACCCTTTTCTGGGAAATAGGATACAGCCATTCAGTGGGATTTACTTCTAAGCAAATTTAGTTAGCATTGGGACTTTGCAATGGCTTTGTAACTGGACATTTTAACAAGAACACTTTCTGAAAAGTTGGGTAGGATTTAGAAGGTCCATTCACAAACTTGGATCTTTGCTTATACTGATTACATAAGACAAGTTAGGGAAAGCTGGTTTCTTCCAGATAAACTTCACCAACAAGCCAACAGTTGGGGATTATGGGAGTTGGAGTCCAAAACTTCTAGAAAATATTAGGTTGCCTACCTGTGACAAGGAGGTTAAATCACAGAATCCTCTTCTACAACTGAGCACTATGGATTTTTGTTTGTTCGTTTGTCAGCTGCTTGTATAGCCCTGATTTCTGTAGGGAAACATTGCTGTCACCCAAACTATCTATCTATCTATCTATCTATCTATCTATCTATCTATCTATCTATCTATCTATCTATGAATGATTCCAATGATCACAGTATTTTGAAAATTATGGAGAATTACAGAAATTACTTGACAACTTTATGCATACTTGGCAGTTTTCCTATCATTCACTACTCAGAATTTAACAGTTGGTACATCAAGGCAAAGAATCAAGCTGTTTCAGTCAGTTGCTACAAGTCAATGATTACACATAAGTATTGGATAGAATTCATTGTACAGTTGAAATAAATGGAAATTAAGAATTCATAGTGGCAGGTTTACACCCTTTGGCTCCATGGAGGAATTCTGGTGTGCTATTGTACATGAGACAATTTTCATGGGCTGTGACTGTCCTACTCTTCAACAACTAGGGATGTGCTGGTGTTTGCATAACTGGTATTTACTGGAAACACAGAGCGCTGACTGGCTGCCCCAAATGGCAGTCACCAAAAGTTGATACTCCCCACTTCAGCAGCTATGTTTCAGGTTAAGCATACTGAGATTAAATAAATTAGTTTACCAAATAAACTTGCAAAGTAAGAGACATCAGTAAGCACCATTTGGCTGAGAGAGACCAAACAGTTGATGCACCCTTCAGCAAAAGCTAATCTAGCCAGAATAATCTGTTCAAATGCTGGGCATATCATAAAATACAATAAAAGCAAAAATAATAGATTTGTGTAAAATAGGTGAGATAAGTGTACTGTACATTGTAAGCAACCAAATCCTACATAAATCTTTGGAAGGGCAACTGTCTTTATCAGGGTCACTGCAAGATATCATGCTACCCAAAGCAAATCTCAGATGGTGTTTCCACTGAAAATTGACCAGGTGATGTTGGCATGAGACAGAAATGCCTGGTAGAAAAAACACAGCAATAAGTAAATAAATAATGAATAGTGTGCTGCCCTGTTTGAGGAGGTTACCTCACTCTGCCTAATGATAGGATAGGCACTGTCTAGAGCCATCTTAGCTTGAGATTTGAGCACTAAGGAATTTACATTTGGCTAAGATATGACAGTGTTTGTTCATGAAGAAATGACTCCATAGCTTAAGAGAGGAGTCCTGGCTGTGTCACCTGAAGGGGTAATTGTTTAAAAAAGAGAGAGAGAGAGAGAGAGAAATTTGATAACATCTAAATAGAAAACTGAGCTCTTAACTATTCATTAGGACTTTTTTCTTAAGTTGGTAGAAGGAAAATGACTGAGATTTGATTTCCTTGATTTTTTAAAAGCCTGACAACATAAATCTCTTTATCTTTCATCACAGGAAATTAATGACTCACAGTTGTTACTACCACTTACGTTTCCATTTTTCTCTCAGAAAAGAATAAGCCCACACTAACTCAACTTACATGTATATGGTGATTGTCTCAAGGAGACAGCCAAAAAAAGACCAAAACTGCTCGCTAGTACCATCTACACTAGGTTGTAGGCAATGCAGAGCCTCCAGATGTTCATCCCCCTTCCCATTATTCTTACCAGCATGACCAGTGCTAAGAGATTATGGAAATTCCTTCAATCCAATAATATCAGAAGTTAATATATTGCCCTCTCTTGTCCAAAACAGTTCTGATGTCCTCTGATTGCTAATATCACAAAGATGATTATTTCCCTGGGCTTCTTTCTTTCTATCTTAAAATTCTAATTAAAGTGAAGGGGATCCAAGATAGACTGGGAGTTTAGCTGCAGTGAAGTAGAGCACTCTGGCTGTTACAAGTTCTCATCTAATTCAACCACATTATTCATATATCTGCAGTTCATGCTGCCAAAATGTGACCCTTTGGCAATGTAAGCTGAAGGCCCAAGGTGCTCAGTCCACATTGGAATGGTGGTGGGGGGGGGGGAAGATTCCCTTACATGTCTTCCAACATGAGGGTTCCCATTTGGATCAAACCCTTGCTTTTGAGTCAACCAAGGATGTAGCTGTTAGTGATATCTTCAGAACAATATGCAATTTGGCCCATTTCTGATACAGAGGATATGAACATTTGCAAAGTTTACATGCAGTAGTAGGCTAAGATTTGGAGGACTCATGCTCAAATCCTCATTCAGCCATGAAGTTCATTGGTGACCAGTTACCATCTAACAAGGCTGTTGTGGATTTAAAAAGGAGGAAGGAGTAACCCCATATATACCATCTTACACCCCTAGCAGGAAAGATGCGGTATAAATCTACTAAATAAATTCCTCAAATAGGTTGGCTAATTGCAAAACACTAATAAAGTTGGTGAGAATTATCTGATGTAATCACTTATTATTGACAAAGAACAAACCAGGATGAGGAATGAGATCATGTTTAAATCCAAAATTCTAGCACAGGGACAGGAGGTGTTTTTAGCCTGTGGCTAGCCTTCTGCTAGAACAGGTGTATCCACCACGAACAGAAATTAAAGTCAAAACTAAAAGAATGGGCTCATCCCACATCTCTCATATAAATACACAAATATTCCTACGCACACTATACACATTGGAAAGCTTTTTTGGGGAACAACTTTGGAAAGAGTTCATGGCATATGGGGAGAAAAAGGTCTAGAACAGTGTTTTTCAAACTTGGCAACTTTAAGAAGTATGGATTTCAACTCCCAAAATTCCCAGCCAGTATGGAGTTGAAGTCCACATATCTTAAAGTTGTCAAGTTTGAAAAACACTGGTCTAGAAGAAATAATACAGATAAACTGTAATGCGTTTATTTGTAAGAAAACACTATTGAACTCAAAAAGATTGGCTTCCAAGTTCTTTTTACTCATCTTTCCATTCAAACACACAGTTTCAGGAATGGTGCTACCAAGCAAAAGGATATTAAAAACTAATATAATCTGAGAAAGTATATCCCTCAACAGGGGACTCTTGAGTGTCCTATATGTTTCAGAAATGGCATAACCTTTTGTTATGAGTTTTTAAACTCTGTCCTGCCATACCTAGGTTCAGACCTCATGTTAAACTGTGGTTTGTTTAAAAAGCCAGTCATCTGGTATATTTATAAGCAACTACGGGTAGTCCTCAGGTTACAATGGCAATTGGGACTGGAATTTCTGTCGCTAAGCGACATAGTCATAAAGTACGACATCACATGACTGCGTTGCTTAGTGACAGCAATTCCAGCAGTCCTAGTTGCCACCATTAAGTGAGGACCACATGGGTCATTAAGCAAGGACCTCACATGACCGTGACTTCCAACTTCCTGCCTTTTCCCCATTGACTTTGCTCATGGAAAGCTGGCCGGGAATGTTGGAAATCGCCATCACGTGACCACAGTTCACTGCAATGTCATAATTGCAAGCTGGGCACCAAGCCCCTGGATCGCAATCACATGACTGCAGGGACACTGCAACAGCTGGACCCATCATAAATACCATTTGTTCAGCACTGTTGTAACTTTGAAGAGTCACTGAATGAATGGTCGTAGCCTGAGGACTACCTGTAGTCATAAACCATGACTTCCACATAACCATTTATTTATTAAATGTACAGACTGCTGCATTTCAGCAAAACACAATGACATCAACTAAAACATCCACAGTACAAATGAATAAATATCACAATAATAGCAACATTTGGTGACATCTCAGCTTACTGCAAAAGCCTTCCAGAATTAATCTATTTTAACTAAATTCTGGAAGAC